TCTCTCTCTCTCTCTCTCTCTCTCTCTCTCTCTCTCTCTCTCAGGCCCTTGCGCTTGCCAGGGAAAAACCCTATCTCAAAAAGACCAAACAAAACATCCTGGGCTGGGGAGATAGCTCTGCTGTCTAAGCGCCTGCCTGGCAAGCACAAGGACCTGGGTTTGATTCCCAATACTGCACACCATGTGGGTCATTGAAATGGGGTGTGGTGGTGCACATCTGTAATCCCAGCACTGGGGAGGCTGAGACAGGAGGATCATTACGAGTCCCTGCTGCACATTGTGACCCTGTACCAAATAAATAAAAGATCCAAACATCCTAATGCAGTTGTAATGACATTTTTGCTATCATAGAAGAACCATATTTTTTTAAATCTGTATTTTTCTGACTGCTAGCTGTCTCCCATATTTAACAGCATCATGTTCTCTGGACACCCATATGCCCAAAGAACATCCAGAATATCACGTTCCAAAAAGGCTGTTCCTTTCACTAACAGAGCAGGCAGCCTGAAAGCTTGAGCCTGGATCCATTTGCAAACTATTAGTACATTTGGTTTCCTAGGCTCTCAATTTTTTGTCACTCAGTTTCTCTAGACAGTATTCCTCTATTCCTGTAACAGCCACCTGGACAGTTGGGTTTTTTCCACCCTGAATTTTCCCCTTTGTCCTACATCATCATTTTTTTCCCTTTTTTTTTTTTTGATCAACTGGGTCACTTAAAAGCAAACAAAAATGTTCCATCGTTTTTGTGGGACAGCGAACTGAAACAGAGACTATTCAGTCTAAGCTGCCTTTCAACTTGCTATGTGTGCCACCACACCCAGACTCCATCGCCAGCAGAGTGAGCCCCCAGGGGTGGGGCTGGCACAGCATGTGGTGCCAGGGATCAAACCCTGGCCACTGCGCTTACCTAAGCAGGTGCTTAGTCTGCAGAGCTGTACCACCACCAGCCCTTTGCTGTTGTTTTGGGTCTCCCTATGTAGTGCAGGCTGGCCTTCAACTCATCATATACTCCTGTTTCAGCCTCCTGAGCTGGGATTACAGGCCTGCCCCTACACAACCTTTTTCTTTTCTTTTCTTTTCTTTTTAAGATAGGATCTCCTTTTTGATCCTGAAGTGGAGTAGCTGTTGGTCTTGCTGCTAGTGTTTAGTCCACAAACGTAGCCGGACATGGGACTAGAAGATGACCAGAAGATGCTGACTGGATCTGGAGATCCTAAAGAGGAAGAGGAGGAGGAGGAGGAGGAGGAGGGGGAATTAGTGGACCCCCTAACAACAGTGAGAGAACATTGTGAGCAGCTGGAGAAATGTGTCAAGGCATCGGAGCGGCTAGAGCTCTGTGATGATCTTGTGTCTTCCCGGTCACAGACAGAAGAGGATTGCGTGGAGGAGCTATTTGACTTTCTGCATGCAAGGGACCACTGTGTGACCCACAAACTCTTCAATAGCTTGAAATAAGTGCAGACTCACTCATTCAGCCTTCATTACCTGGATATCAAGCATTTTGTGCTTTTAAACATGCCATTTGTTTCTAATTTAGGAACCTTGTGGATTTGGGTTTAGGCAAGTGGCTTAATGTAATTAGCAATGATTACATCTTAATAAATCCTGTGATCTGAAAAAAAAAGGGGGGGGGTCTTGGCAGCACCATGGCAGTAGGCAAGAGCAAGCGCCTTAAGAAAGGCAGCAAAAGGGGCTAGGGAGATGGCTCAGTAGAACAAGTACTTCCCTGGCAAGTGCAAGGGCCTGAGTTCAATCCCTGGTTCCACCAATAAAACAAAAACAGAAAGGCAGCAAAAAAGGAGCCAGGAAGAAAGTGGTTGATCCATTTTTTAAAAAAGACTGGTATGATGTGAAGGCGCCGGCTATGTTCAACATAAGAAATATTGGAAAAACGCTCGTCACCAGAACCCAAGGAATCAAAGTTGCATCTGATGGACTCAAGGGTCATGTGTTTGAAGTGAGCCTTGCTGATCTACAGAATGATGAAGTTGCCTTTAGAAAATTCAAGCTACAGGGCTGGGGAGATGGCTCAGTGGAATAAGCGCTTCTCTGGCAAGCGCAAGGGCCTGAGTTCAATCCCCGGTTCTGCCCAAAAAAAAAAAAAAAAAAAAAAAAGGAAAGAAAGAAAGAAAATTCAAGCTAATTACTGGAGATGTTCAGGGCAAAAACTGCCCAACTAACTTCCATGGCATGGACCTCACCCGTGACAAAATGTGTTCCATGGTCAAAAAATGGCAGGCCATGATTGAAGCCCATGTTGATGGTTATTTGCTTCGACTGTTCTGTGCTAGCTTTACTTTACTTAAAAAATGCAACAATCAGATACAGAAGACCTCTTACACTCAGCACCAACAGTCCGCCAGATCCAGAAGACGATGATGGAAATCATGACCTGGGAGGTGCAGACAAATAACTTGAAGGAAGTGGTCAATAAACTGATTCCAGACAGTATTGGGAAAGACATAGAAAATGCTTGCCAATCTATCTATCCTCTTCATGATGTCTTTGTCAGAAAAGTAAAAATGCTGAAGAAGCCCAAGTTTGAATTGGAAAAACTCATGGAGCTTCATGGTGAAGGTAGCAGCTCTGGAAAGGCTACTGGAGATGAGACTGGAGCTAAAGTTGAACGAGCTGATGAATATGAACCACCAGTGCAAGAGTCCGATTAAGATCCAGATTTTTAATAGTGATAAATAAAGTCCTATTTGTAGGGGAAAAAAAGGCAGGGTCTCACTTTGTATTTCAGGTCAGCCTTGAACTCATTGTGTAGCCCAGGATAGCCTCGAATTTTGGCATCAATCTTCCTGCCTCAGCCTCCCTGGTGCTAGGATTACAGGTGTACATACATATCTGGCAAAAATGTTATCAGGGTTTTTTTTTTTTTGTGTGTGTGTGTGTGTGTTTTCAGGGGGTGGCACTGGGGATTGAATTTGGGACCTAGTACTTGCCAGGCAGGCACTTAGGCCACTGAGCTATCCCCCCAGACCTTATCTTTTTCAAGGCAGAGTTTCACTATGCTATTCAGTCTGGCTTTGAACTCACTTTGTAGCCCAGGCTGATCTTGAACTTGCAAGGATCCTCCTGCTTCAGTATCCTGAGTACTGGGATTACAGGCATGTGCTCCCATGCCTGTAATCCCATTACAGGATTTTCTCTATCTTTAAAAGAGAAAACAAATATCTCTCTTAATTCCACAAACCTCTTTTGGGCTTTTTTCTCACAAATTTTTTTGGGGGTACCAGGAATCAAACTCAGGACCTTCCACTTCCAGGCAAGTGCTTGTGCTGCTGAGCTATATCTCTGGCCCTCTCCCAACTTTTTCCTTTTTTAAGACTAGGGATTAGGGCCAGCTAAATAGCTCAGCAGATTAAGGCACCTGTTTAGGCAGAGGTAGGGGCCAGGAGTTCAATCCCCTGGCCACTGTGCCGGCCCCACCCCCAGGGCACACTGACCAGTGACTGAGACTGGGTGTGGTGGCACGC